TTCTGAGGAAACCCAAGAGGGGGATGGAAACTGAAAGTCACCTGCAAATGCAACAGAGGCTCTCAATTGCTCCATTTGTCCTCAGCATAAGTCCCAAAAAATAAGTCCCAGGACGGGATAAAGGGATAAAGGTATTGGCAACAGTTACTTGTAGTATGCCTAACTGACCACTTCTCTAAAGGAATTTTTGAGGTTCTGAAGAGGAATATATTACTGTCCTTGTATTGATCAAAATTACCTATTTGGGGGTCCTCCAAATACCTGGGGAAGAGAAGAAAAAATTATGCACATTTGTGGTCACCTGATAAGGGGTTTTCCCCTCCTTAACATCAATAATACACATACATACACTCACTGTATAATTTATAAAGTTGTTTCTTCCACCTCTACTTATTAAATGGAGCATATTCTTAAGGTGGAAGTCACAGCTCCAATGTTTACAGATACAGAGGGCAGGGCAAGTGAATAAACATACACTTTGGGAGAGGAGTACCTAGCCTGTCCAAGCCCATGATGATATGTGGGAATATAGGCCCGGTGGTGCCAGATCTTCATATTTTCAGGGAAGGCCAAAACAAATTTTCCCATTAAAAATTCCAAATTCTAAAAAAATAAAAAATAAAAAAAATCCTAGAAACGACAAGTCACATAAAGTCTGTTTGAGGCCTCCAAGGAATGGTCAATTTATACTTTCTTTGTGCTTTCCATAATTCTCCTCTCACCTGCTTATCACATCAGTTCCAGCCTCCTAAATACCCATCATCCTGTTTTTGTGGTGTTTTTTTTAAAATATTTTTTTAAAAATAATCTGATTTTTTAAAAATATCTGATTTTTTGCAGAGAGGAAGGGAGAAGGATAGAGTTAGAAACATCGATGAGAGAGAAACATTGATCAGTTGCCTCCTACACACCCCCTACTGGGGATGTGCCCACAACCAAGGGACATGACCTTGATGGGAATGGAACCTGGGACCCTTCAGTCCGCAGGCTGATGCTCTATCCACAGAGCCAAACTGGTTAGGACCCATCATCCTGTTTTGTTACCATTTCCCTTTCCCCAACTCTTTGGGCTTCTCTATGACCTACCTTAAGCAAAATCTCTCATTTTCTCAATCACTTCTCTAAACATGGTGACTTTCTTATCTCTAACCTAATCTGCTCTCCCCTCTAAGTGGGTAGTTCTCCTGGCTCCTAAGTGCTACTTCCATTCTACCTCCATCCTCTCCCCAGGCCCCCAGCTAAGAATCTTATCATCAGAGTATAGTATCCACCTCCGGCAACATCTTCTGACCTAGGCCATTAAACCTCACTTCTCCATGATTTTAGCTCCAGGCTCACTGCCATTCCTCCTCCTCCCATCATCATTCTTGGTGATTTCCACATCCAGGCCCACGATCCTAGAATCATCCTGATCTCTTGGTTTGTAGACTTCCTCTCCTTCAAAGATCTTCTCCTCCCCCAGACTTTTCCAGGCCTTTTCTTAATAATTGCAGTCTAGCCCTAGCCGGTTTGGCTCAGTGGATAGAGCGTTGGTCTGGGGACTGAAGGGTCCTGGGTTCGATTCCCATCTAGGTCACACCCCCAGATTTTAGGTTCAACCCCCAGAAGGGGAGATATGCAGGAGGCAGCCAATCAATGATTCTCTTTCATCACTGATGTTTCAATCTCTCTCCCGCTCCTTCTCTGAAATCAATACAAATATAATTTTTAAAATAAATAAATCTGTAGCCTCTTCAGAAGTTCAGTTTCATGCATCTCATTCACTGCCTACCATTATCTTACCTTTCTTACCTAGTTCATTCACTCCAAAACCTCAATTTCAACAATCCATTGGCCCTAAACCTTTCAAAGACTTCTCAACCCCTTCATGTCTTCACGAAGATTAAATTCCTCGATCTACTATTATAATCAGCCCCTAAACATTTCTTTACCACACACTTTTATATGACAGAGCCTATGCAGCTCCACCCTCTTTATCTGACAAAGCCTATGCAGTTGCATGTGGCTAGAGAAATACCTCATTCAGGGAAAATAAAAATAATCAGGGAAGAAGAAGACGAAGAGGAAGAAAAAGGTAGAAAGCTTTCAAACAAACAACTTCAGATAAGCAAGAGCTTTAGTTGACCCAGCCAAACAGGAGTACTTCTGAAAGGTCAGTAGGTTCAACCATCTGCAACAGTCAGGGAGGCCACTGAGAACAGAGGTGGTTTCTGCAGCCAGACCTGGCTTTGTCAATTACTATTCTGTGACCTTAGATAAGATCGGTAACTTCACACCACAGTTGTCTCAAGAATTAAATAACACATACAGCAGGGGTGGAGAGCGTCAGGCCAGTGAAATCATTTGGTCTGACCCTGCCAAGATATTAGGGGTGAATTAATTAAATGTTTGACCAAATGTAGCAGGCTAGTTTTTAATTTGATACTTTTGTATGGCCCTCTAATGATATAAATATCTAAATGGCCCTTGGCAGAAAAAAGGTTCCCCTGACATACAGGCGCAGAGTAAGCAATAGATGTTTGTCCCAAACTCAGTTTTGACAAAGTCCATGCCAGGTAATTGTAAGGTACTATACATCCTTAACATAATTAATTCATCTACAAAAGTCCAGAAGGGCTGGCAAATCCTGGTTCAGACTGCAAGAATAATGAACAAAGAATAAGAATAATGCGTTCCTAATTCTTATTCCTCTAGAGCTAAGCCCTTGACATACCCATTAACTCATTTTTTTCCCCCTCTCTGGCTCAGGCAAAGGGAAATTAAGTTTTCAGAAATGACTGCAGGTGATGACTTATTGCACATTTTATACCCAATATGCTGGCCTATGCCTATAAAGCCATTATAATCAGCCCCTAAACATTTCAAATTGTGCCTATTTCTCTCATTTCACCTACGTACTTTCTCCAATTCTCCCTTCCTCCTTTTTTGATCCAGCCACACACACTGGCTGGCTAGCTCTCCTGGTCTTTTTCTTCAAAACCACTATGTGTGTTCCAGGCTCAAGGCATTTGTACTCCATTACTTCCAACTGGACATTCAGCCCTAAGGTTTTTGTGTAGCTGTCACCTCCTCACTTTTTATCTTAGAGCTCAGATGTGGCCCTCCTCAGAGAGATCTCCCCTGACTACTGAACCGAAGTGACCCCCATCAGACATATTTTTATATGGATCTTACAAGAAGCACATGCCAGGTACCCACTTGAGAGAGGTTGGGCATGGAAGGGTGGCACAATTCTAAGAACACAATCTTGCTGAAGGATATAAAAGACTAGGAGAGGCCGAAACCGGTTTGGCTCAGTGGATAGAGCGTTGGCCTGCGGAGTAAAGGGTCCCAGGTTCAATTCCAGTCAAGGGCATGAATCTTGGTTGTGGGCACATCCCCAGCATGGGGTGTGCAGGAGGCAGCTGGTTGATATTTCTAGCTCTCTATCCCTCTCCCTTCCTCTCTGTAAAAAAATCAATAAAATATATATTTTTTAAAAAATAAAAATAAATAAATAAATAAATAAATAAAAGACTAGGAGAGGGAGCACAGGAACATAGATATTTATATATCAGGGTCACAGAGCAAGTCATAGAGAAAGCATGGCAAGAGAAGCAAATTGCCTCAAAATATACACATGGAATCTGAATAGTTCAGACTAGGCACTTAGGGAACGCCTAGTTGGAACTAGGGGAAAAAATGAAGTTTGGAACCTGTTGCTTTTTCATCATAGAGAATAAAATTTTAGGTGATTCTGGGGGGGGGGGGGGGCGGAGTGGCCCCCATCATCTTATTTCACCTCATTTGTGTACTTCACCCTGTTTATTCTTAGTAATTTAATACTGTGATGAGTGCTCTTTATTTAAATGTTTACTCACTGTCTGTCTCTCCCACCAAATTATAAATCCTGAGAGTGCAGAATCATGGCTTGTCTAAGTCACAAGCACTGTCCCTGACACATAGCAAGGCCTCAAAAAATTTTGCTGAATCAATGAATTCTTCCAACAGTTATTTTCAAAGCCCACTTGTGCTTGTCTTAAGAAGTTAAGGTTCTAACAACACCTGTTCAAAAAGACCTTTCAAACTAAACTTCCTTAAGAGTGGAGAGGTTTTAATACGAACCTCTTAATAAATCTAAGCCTATCTCCTCACAACCAATATTATTCTTTTTTTAAATCCTCACCTGAGGACATTTTTTTTTATTGATTGTAGAGAGGGAGGGAGAGGAAGAGAAACATCGAAAGAGAGAGAAACATCGCTGTCTCCCGCACAAGCCCGAGGAGGAGGAGGGGTGTTGGGGGAGGGGAATCAAACCCGCAACCTAGGTATGTGCCCTGACCGGGAATCGAACTCGCAACCTTTGGTGTACAGGACAATGCTTCAACCAATACTCTTCTTATACCGTGGCATCTGGCAAAATTTCTCCCCTCCAACACTTTTGCTTTTCTTCTCCTTCCTGTTGACTTCACTGAGAATCACCTTCCTTCTTGGAGGCGCTCCACTGCAGCTGAACCAGAAAGGTTTCTCAGGGAGGCCGACGTCCAAGATCTGAAGAGGTGGGGGTGGAGCCTGCTTCCAGAAGCAAACTGCCACCAGGTCACTAACCCCACCCCCTTCCTCCCAGGCCTCCGAGGCTTTCCTGAGCCTTGGGACTTTCTGCGCCCAGGAAGCGGCAGGCCTTCGGGGGGCCCCTCACCCCTTCCTGCCACAGGGAGGGGCCGCATGGTCCCCTCCCTCACCCACTGGAAACTTTCTCAGCGCGGATCCTCCGCCGGCCTCACTCCCCAGAGCTGCCAAACCCCTTCTCTGAGCCGGCTCACCAGCCCAGGGGGGCTCCACCACACCCGCTGTGGGCTTCACCACGTCGCCCCCGCCTCCCCCGCCAATTCTCCCCACTCAGACCTTGTCCAGGGCCTCTCGGATCCAACTTACACCCCCGCCCCACATCCTGCCCCTAACGTCCCGTCTTCGGCCTCTCGGCCACCCACTCCTCCCTGGAGACCCGCCCGGGCACTCACCGTGGACGTCACGTTCTCCGTCGGCCGCTGCGACCCCGAAGAGGAGCAACGATGCCAGCAGGGCGAGGAGCGCCGGGCACCGCCTCGGCCCACACAGCTGCGCCATGACTAGCTCCACCGGCCGCGCGCGGCGAAGCCTCCAGCCGCCGGCCGTTGGGGTCTCGCGATCAGGTGCGAGAAGCCCCTTGCTGCGCACGCGCACTGGAGCCCCTCGCGGGCAGGTGCGGACGCTCGAAGAGGGGCTGCGCGGGCGCCGGCACTGGTGCTGGCGCCGAAGTCTCCGGAAGAAAGCCCCTTTCTCTATCGCCTACGCCCACAACGCGGGAGAACGCTCCTCACTCGCCCCGTGGCCCCCAGTAACACACAGAGACTGTCCACCGTTCAGAGCCCACCACACGGCAATGGCTCGGTGGGGACTGGAGCCGATGGCGGCCGCCTGGAAGGAGACGTCGAAGGTGGCCGTGGCGCCTGGGAGGGGGCGGGCGCACCTGGGCGCAGGCGCAGGGAGCAGGCACCTGCGCGGTTTCCTCCTCCCTCGGCGCACCTGGGTCCGCCCCCGGCGCTGGGGAAAGGGCTCGGGCTCACGTTGGCTCCGCCCCGGGGAAAGCCAGGCTTGCGGGTAGGCGCTTGCCGGCTGAGCTCTGGCTTCCTGCTACCCTTTCCCGGGGCCGGTAGGTGATGACCTAGTCCTTCGCCCAACTCAAGTGGGAGCAGAGGGCGCACACACGCTCTTCCTAGAAATCTGGCTTTTTGCCCGCCTCAATTCAGCCTGCCTTTGAAGAAGAGCATTTTTTTTTTTCTTTTTCTAAATTCGACGTTCCCTAAGCGCCTAGTTGGAACTTGGTAATGCAGCATTGACCACGTCAGACTAGTTCCTGCGTCTCCAGATAGGAGCAGCCACAGGGCAGAGTGTTTGGGGAAGCACAGGCCAAGTGATCATGAGCTGCGGTGGTGAATGATGGGAAACAAATCCCCGCTTCAGTGTGAAGAAGGGTTTCCCCAGAGGAGGTGACAGATTTATGAATGAACACTAGCTTCTAAGGTTCTCAGTCCTGAGAAGTAGACAAATTATTCACCAGCAGCGATAGGGAAGCACAGGCAGAGTAATCAGCCCCTAAAGAAGGAAAGCCCAGAGGAAGTACCTGATGCAATTTGGCTTCCTGGAAGAGAATCTCAAAAGGAGGAGGGAGTGGAACAGGCATATAGAAAAAGAGGAAAATAAAGGAGACCGGAGACCTACTGAGCTGGGTAATGGAGGAGGTGGTTTTAAAAATGAACACCGACAAATTAAAAGAGAAAATGGACAAACATTTCAAGAATTATAACAGCAAAGCAAAAACAAACAAACAAACAAAAAAAAAACAACACCCAAGTTAAGAAAGACAACAGTATGTTATGGGAGCCAGGGCCACTCTCACTAGTTAGCCTCCCTCCTGACATATTAATACAGGGGTGGACAAAATAAATAATACAAGAATAAACTGTTTTCTGTTCTTACCTATTATAAACCTATTTTTGCCCACCCCTGACATGTAAAGAGCCTTAATTGGGTAAAATGATGTTTACCTTAAAGTTTTATGCCAGCCATCTTTAATTTTGCAGCGAGGTCCTGGGACTCCAGATCAAGATTCATAATGTGAGTCCAAAGATCTTTCCAGCACCTGAGCACTCCACCCCTTCCCCTATCCTACTAAGCCCAGGCTTGAACAAGAAGACTGAAAGGACTATAGTAAGATGTGAGGCTGATGAGGAGGCACAGGCATCATTCATTCATTCATCTATTCATCTATTCCTTCCTTTGGTACATTCATTGAGTAACCACTGTGAGTCAGGTACTGTTGAAAATGCTTGAGAAGATACAACAGCAAACAGCAAAATTTGTGCTTGTTGGAACTCCTTTTATATTGTTGGGAACAATGGTGAAACTAAGTTTTTTACTACACCTCCTCCTCTTCTTTCTTCTTCTTCTTTTTTTTAATATATTTTGATTTTTTACAGAGAGAAAGAGAGAGGGATAGAGAGTTAGAAACATCAGTGAGAGAGAATCATTGATCAGCTGCCTCCTGTACACCCCCCACCGGTATGTGCCTGCAACCAAGGTACATGCCCTTGATTGGAATCAAACCCGGGACCTTTCAGTCCGCAGGCCAATGCTCTATCCACTGAGCCAAACTGGTATCGGCTCCTCCTCTTTGATAGAAAATTATTTTAATAATTAATTTATTATTTCATTTTAAAATTAACAATTGAAAATGAATAGATTTCAATTTTAGACATATTACTCAAAGAATATTTCATGTATGAATAAAAATTTGCATTTACCAAATAAAAATATTATACCTTGCAGTTCATACCATGATTCACTATTTTAAAATTTAAACACAAAAACTCCAAAAGAATAGAGTGGCTGAAGAGTTTCTTCATCTTTAGGATCATAGTGCTATCATTCTAATTTCTTCTTTTTAAAAAAATATATTTTATTGATTTTTTTACAGAGAGGAAGGGAGAGAGAGAGAGAGAGCTAGAAACGTCGATGAGAGAGAAACATCAACCAGCTGCCTCCTGCCTACCGGGGATGTGCCTGCAACCAAGGAACATGCCGGAATCGAATTCGGAATCGAATCTGGGACCTTTCAGTCTGCAGACCGACGCTCTACCACTGAGCCAAACCAGTTTTGGCTATCATTCTAACTTCTAATCTATTATTTCAATTCAAGAATATGTAGAATCACAGAAATTAGAGACTCAAGCTGTGCCTGATACAAACTTAAATGATTCTAAATTATTATGAACCTATTTTCAAAATGGACCATAAAGCTGAATCTTTAGGTATTAGAGGTTAACTCTGGGAATTCTCTATACAGGCCAACCTAGGAGAGACTCTGGATTTGGTCCCAGACCACTGCAATAAAGCAAGTAAAAGGAAGTTGTAATCATTTTTTCTGGTGGAGGGTCTTGCCTTCAATTTGTAAAATAAATAAATAAATAAAATAACATCTGTGAAGTACAATAAAGCGAAGTTCAAAACAAAACAAATAAATAGATAAGAACAAGGTATATCTGTATTTGTTTCCCTGTAGAACATTGTGGCAAATAGAAGTTGGGAAGTCCTCATGTTCACGGCCTGTATAATCCCCTCCCCTCAAGTGTGAGCAGAACCTGTGGCTTGTTGTAACCACTAGAATATGGCAAAGGAGGTTCATGATTACATTACATTATGTAAAACCCCATGTTAATGGACTGGAGAGAGAAAATCTCCTTGCTGGCTTTGAAATAATTTACTACATTGTGAGAGGACTTATGGAGAGGACCACACAGCAAGTAAGTGTAGATGGCCTCAAGGAGCTAAGAGGAACCACATGGACTTTAGGAGAATCTAAGATGGCGGCATAGGTAACACCTAATTGCAGCCTCACACAACAATTTCAATAAAATACAACTAAAATACAAAATGGACATTACCCAGAACTACAGGAAAGTCGACTGACTGGAAATTCTACAACGAGAAGGAAAGGGAAAACAAGAAGGAAAAGCAGAGGAGCAGTAAAAGCCTAAGGTACGGAGACACGTTGTGCACGCGGAGAGGACGGAGCCGGAAAGGAGGGGGAGGCTGAGTGCCTGGCTGGTGTTCCCTAGCAAGAAGAAGATAAAAGCTCCAGACTGTGCTGAACCCCAGTTCTGATTGCACTGAACCCCAGTTCTAGGCCAGAACCTGGGAAGCCAGGCCATACAGAGGGAGCCTGGGCTGTAAAGTGGAATCTCAGGGGAGCAGCGAAAGGCAGTCCCTGAGGTGCGCACATTACGCGCAGAGAACGGACAGTTGACTGTGCTGCTGGATTGCCCTAGCAGGAAAGAGACAAAAGCTCCAGACTGCTCTGAACCCCACTTCCAACCCCACTTTCAACTGAACTGAATCCCAGTTCTGGGATCATTGGGGGAGAGCCTAGACTATTTGATAGCGGGCAAAACTCGAGGGCACCTTTCTCTCAGAAGTGCCTCCACCCTGAAACTCTGTCCCATCCAAGCTGAACACAGAAACTTTTAAGGCTACCAACTCAGGGAAGCTGGAAAATGCTGAGACAAGGAAACAGATCACAAATGAAAGAAATGGAGGACAAAAAGAGACTGGATATAGAGTTCAAAACCATGCTTTTAAGGTTTTTCAAGAATTTCCTAGAAAAGGCCGATAAAATAAATGAGACCTATGAGGATATGAAAAGGGATCAACTAGAAATAATAAGGGATCAACAAGATATAATAAGGGATCAACAAGAAACAAAGGATACATTGTCTGAAATAAAAAATATTATACAGAGTCCTAAAAACAGAATGGAAGATCGCAAGAATCAAGTCAAAGATTTGGAACATAAAGAGCCAGAAAACACTCTTCTGTAGAAGCAAGAAGACAAGAGAATCCAGAAAGTTGAAGATAGTGTAAGAAACCTCTGGGACAACTTCAAGCAAACCAACATCAGAATTATGAGGGTCCCAGAAGAAGAGAGAGAGCAAGATACCAAAAACATATTGGAAGAAATACAGAAAACTTCCCCCACCTGGGGAAAGAATTAGACTTACAAGTCCAGGAAGCGCACAGAACCACAAACAAAAGGAACCCAAAGAGAACCACACCAAGATACATCATAATTAAAATTCCAAGAGCAAAAGACAAAGAATATTAAAAGTAGCAAGAGCAAAGCAGGTAGTTACCTATAAAGGAGCACCTATACGACTGTCAGCTGATTTCTCAACAGAAATCATGCAGGCCAGACGGGAATGGCAAAAAATATTCAAGGTGATGAATAGCAAGAACCTACAGCCAAAAATAATCTACCCAGCAAAGCTATCACTCAGAATCGAAGGCCAGATAAAGAGCTTCACTAATAAAAAAAAAAAAAAAAAAAGAAGCTAAAGGAGTTCATCGCTGCCAAACCAGAATTATATGAATTGCTGAAAGGTGTTCTTTTAGAAGAGAAAGAAAATAAAGATAAAAATTATGAACAACAAATATGTAACTATCAACAAGTGAATCTAAAAACCAAGGGAATTAAAAAAAATCTGATGAACAATATTAACTGGTGAATATAATAGAATCAGAGGTATGGAAGGGGAGTAGGGGGAGTGGGAAGAGACTGAACATAAACTGTGCACCTATGGATGAGTTCAATGGGGGGTGGGGAAAGGGCAGAGGGTGGGTGGGAACCTGGTGGAGGGGAGCAATGGAGGGAGGAAAAATGAGGAACATTTGTAATAATATAAACAATAAAGATTTATTTTTTAAAAATAAATAAAAATAAAACATTTAAAAGAGTGAAAAAAAAAATAAGAGAAATCGCATGGACAGCCAGTAGTAATATGAAGACCAAATCCCTCAAGTTATTAGAACAAATCTTTCCTCAGTTGAGCCTCTATGAGACCACAGCCTTAGCTGATACCTGGATTGCAAACTGGTTATTCTGGAGCAGAGGGTCCTCAGCAAAGCCATGACTGAACTGATCCACAGAAACTATGAGGTAATAATGCCGGGACCGGTTTGGCTCAATGGATAGAGCGTCGGCTTGGAGACTGAAAGGTCCCAGGTTCGATTCCGGTCAAGGGCATGTACCTTGGTTACGGGCATATCCCTAGTAGGGGGTATGCAAGAGGCAGCTGATCGATGACTCTCTCTCATCGGTGTTTCTAACTCTCTATTTCTCTCCCTTCCTCTCTGTACAAAATCAATAAAATATATTAAAAAAAAAAAAAGAAACTATGAGGTAATAAATGTGTGTAGTCATTTATTGTGCAACAATAGAAAATAAATACAAATTCAATGTTTGCTAAAAAATAGAGTAATAAAAAGTCTAATTTGAAGCTTACCTACGTAAGTATTGTTAAATTTCTATAGTAGCCAAGACCGGTTTGGCTCAATGGATAGAGCGTTGGCTTGGGGACTTAAGGGACCCGGGTTCGATTCCGTTCAAGGGCATGTACCTTGGTTGTGGGCACATCCCCAGTAGGGGGTGTGCAAGAGGCAGCTGATCGATGACTCTCTCTCATCGATGTTTCTAGCTCTCTATCTAGCTCTCTATCTCCTCCCTTCCTCTCTGTACAAAATCAATAAAATATATTTTAAAAAAAATTTCTATAGTAACTGTTTAGTAAATAGAACAACAAAACATTTTCTTTTCCTGGGGGGGGGTGGGAGGATCATTTTATCACTGATACTGTATAGAATTTTCAGAGCATGGTATAATAAAGGCTTTTGGTCATTTTTATTATTTTCAAGTTCTCTACAGACAGTATATCACTTATTGCCTGTATCCAAGGTGGACCACTCACATTGCCCTCTTTTTGGGACACCACTAGTTGGAAAACATACAATAAATAAAACATGTAAAAACAGGGTAGCTAGAGAAGACCTCACTGAACAGATGACATTTGAGGAAGATGTAGGAGTGAGACTTGTGGATATCATTCTGGGGAAGAGCTTTCCTGGCAGTGGGAACTGCCAGTGCAAATCTGCTGGAACAGAACCATCCCTGGAGCTCTGAGTGTACAGGAAGGAGCTTGGCCTTTAGCCTCAGGGCAATGAAGAGCTATGGACAGTTTTTTTCTTTTTAAATATAAAAGTTTTATTGAGATATAACTCATCATACAATTCACCCTTTTAAAGAGTACAACTCAAATTTTTTTTGTATATTCATGGAGTTGTGCAACTATCACACAATTTTAGAAAATTTAATGGACCTCAAGAAAACAAAAAAGCCGAAACCGGTTTGACTCAGTGGATAGAGCGTCGGCTTGGGGACTGAAGGGTTCGATTCCGGTCAAGGGAATGTACCTTGGTTGCAGGCACATCCCCAGTAGGGGGTGTGCAAGAGGCAGCTGATTGATGACTCTCATCGATGATTCTAACTTGCTATCTCTCTCCTTTCCTCTCTGTACAAAATCAATAAAATATATTAATTAAAAAAAAAAGAAAAGAAAAGAAAAGAAAGAATAAAAAAGAACAAAAGAGCCAAAGCCGGTTTGGCTCAGTGGTAGAGTGTCGGTCTGTGGACTGAAAGGTCCCAGGTTCGATTCCGGTCAAGAGCATGTACCTTGGTTGCGGGCACATCCCCAGTAGGGGGTGTGCAAGAGGCAGCTGGTCGATGTTTCTCCCTCATCAACGTTTCTAGCTCTCTATCTCTCTCCCTTTCTCTCTGTTAAAAATCAATTAAATAAATAAATAAATAAATAAAATAAAAAATGCTCATTAAAAAAAAAAAAAGAACAAAAGAAATGCTATATTCTTTAGCCGTCATTTCTCCTGCACCCCAATTCTCTTAGCCCCAAGCAACCTAAACATTTCATATAAATAGTCATACAACATATAGCCTTTTGTGTTTGGATTTTTTTCACTTAGTGTGTTTTCAAGGTCCATCCATGTTGTAGCATGTATTAACATTTAATTTCTTTTTATTAATAAATAATGTTCTATTGTATGGCTATATCACATTTTATTTATCCATTCCTAACTGGATTCCTAATCCAGTTGATGGGCTGGATTATTTCTATCTTTTGACTATTTTGAACAATGCTATCTTTCATATATATTTTTTAGAGAAATGCCTATTCAGATCTTGTCCATTTTTATTTTTTTAAATATATACATATTTTTAAAAATATACTTTATTGTTTTTTTTACATAGGGGAAGAGAGAGGGATAGAGTGTTAGAAACATCGATGAGAATCATCAACCAGTTGCCTCTTGCACACTCCCTACTGGGGATATGCCCGCAACCAAGGTACATGCCCTTGACTGGAATCGAACCAGGGACCTTTCAGTCGCAGGCCGACGCTCTATCCACTGAGCCAAACCGGTCTTGGCTAAAATATATTTTTATTGATTTCAGAGAGGAAGGGAAAGGGAGAGAGAGATAGAAACATTGATGATGAGAGAGAAACATCAATCAGCTGCCTCCTACACACTCCCTACAGGGGATATGCCCAAAACCAAGGCACATGTTCTTGATTGGAATCGAACCTGGGACCCTTGAGCCCTCAGGCTGACGCTCTATCTACTGAACCAAATGGTTAAGTTAGGACTAGATAAACCTTTTATTAGATAGTTTTAGGCCTGAGCCTAACTACCCACCATGACCTGCCCAGTTAGGAATTTATAACCAGATCACCTTGTGAGGTTACTTTCTATATCCCCTTCCCTTCTTTTAGTCCACAGTATTATACCAAAAGCACAAGCAACAAAGAAAAAATGCATAAATTGGATATCATCTGTGGAAAAAACCAACCTCACAGTGATTTGATCATAAATTTCAAACTGGGCTGGTCATTATGGGTAGAGAGGCCCAGTTCTATAACTTTTTAGTAAAAAGTTATTTTTTTGCCTTAAGCAAGCTCTGTCCATTGTTTCTGTCCATCTTTGATATAAACTTAACCACCTTCAAAAGAACTATCCTGTAATCCAGTGCTTGCATTGTTTTTTCCCAATTTCACATTATCTTCTTTAGTTCCCTTCTTAATCTTAAATGTATGAAAGAAATGAAAAACTGTTATTCTCTGAAGCATTTGAGATCTTGCTCCCTGGCATATGTCCTCAGTGTGGCTCAAACTCATAAAAATTCTCTACAGGCCGAAACCGGTTTGGCTCAGTGAAGGAGGCAGCTGATCGATGTTTCTCTCTCATCCATATTTCTAACTATCTCTCTCCCTTCCTCTCTGTAAAAAAAAATCAATGAAATATATTTTTAAAAAATTCTCTACAGGTTTGAACACTTTTTTTTTAAATTTATTGATTGATATTTTTCAGAGAAAAAGAGAGAAGAAACATAGATTTGTTACACTTATTTATGCATTCATTGATTGCTTTTTGTATGTGCCCTGATCCGGGGTGGAACCTGCAACCTTGAATTATTGGGATAATGCTCTGAGTTACCCAGCTAGGACCTTTGATGTGTCTTTTTTTTTTTTTTTTTTTTTTTTAAATATTTTATGGAATTTTTTTTTTTTTTTTTTTTACAGAGAGGAAGGAAGAGGGACAGTTAGAAACATTGATCAGCTGCCTCCCACACACACCCCACTGGCGAAGTGCCCGCAACCAAGGTACATGCCCTTGACCGGAATCGAACCCAGAATCTTCAGTCCGAAGGCTGACGCTCCATCCACTGAGCCAAACCGGTTTCCGGGTCTCCGCTGATGTTCTTATGTTGACGATATCTAAGATATTTGCCTAGTTATGGATAGTTTTAAGCAGGGGAGGGACATGGCCAAAATTAAGTGTTAAGGTATCTTTCTTGGACGTTTCTTGTCACCCTTGCTAAAATTGCAACTCCATAGAATTTATCATATTCTGAAACTCTATAATGTACTGTACTTACATGTTTACTGCCTGTCTCCACCAAAGAATGCTAACTCCATGAGGACTGGGCTTGTCTCTTTTGTTCACTGACCTGTTATAGACACTCAGTATTTGTAGAGCAAATAAATGGACGAATGAATGCATGGATGGGTGAATAAATGAAGCAACGAACAAATGATGTACAGTGAGTACTATGGATTGATGTTCCCGAGCAAAGAAGGATGGCATGGGCCTCCTGCACCGTTTCTTGCAACCGCCAGAAGGCGCCAAGAGGCGGGTTCCCTGAGTCTGTCTTGGTACCCCGATCCTGTGATCCAGTGGCCTGGAGCCCCATTCGCCCTACCTGGCCAGAGGCTCACAGACCCTACCCATACCTGAGGCCCTGTCGGCTACCGGCTTTACACCAGCGCAGCGGCCAGAGCGAAAACTGAGGCCCGGGGAGGTTGGGGCGGGGTCGGCCCCGGGCGAGTCCGAGCCCCCGCCCCCGCCGGCCCCGCCCCGCCCCGCAGCGTAAGAGGGCCCCCGGGGCGCTAGGCGAAGGCTCACTGCGCGGCAGGGTCCGGGCCGGGACGCGATGGCAGCTCAGCGGCTGGGCAAGAGGGTGCTGAGTAAGCTGCAGGCTTCGTCGCGGGCCCGCGGGCCGGGGGGCAGTCCAGGGGGGCTGCAGAAACGACATGCGCGTGTCACAGTTAAGTACGACCGGCGGGAGCTGCAGCGGCGGCTGGACGTGGAGAAGTGGATAGACGGGCGCTTGGAGGAGCTATACCGAGGCCAGGTGAGACTGGGAGGGGCGTGAAGACGTCGGGGTCTTTGGTTGCTTGTGCTGGCTGCTGCACACGCACGCCAAGGGGTTGGGCACTCATTGCACTATTGGCCTGGCCATCCATCGTCGATGGCACTCTGCTTGTGGACACAGAGACACACACTTGAATCACCTGAGATGTGACCAAACATCTGGGGAGGGCCAGGGGTTTACTGTCTGGGGGGTGAAGAGGCAAAGTTGAGGAGTCAGAGCAGCCATATCTGGAGAAAGGGTGGGGGGAGGGGATGTCTTAAAGCCAAACATAGACATGATGACAGGGGAGTTATAACAACGCAGAGATACATAGCAAAGGAAGCAACAATAGTCACAGCCGTTCACAGTGGCAAGCTATAGCCACTCACAGGCACAGTGAGCAACAGCCATACACAGACCCTCAAGGACACAAGCTGTGATCACTTGCAGATATGCTACAGCCGTGGACATCCATGGCATAGTAGAACAGGCCACAGCCATATGCAGACACACAACACAACAAAACTACAGTCACATAAAAGAACTCCAGTTACAGCTCTTCCAGCACAAGCTGTATCAACTCATAGTACAAGCTACAACAATTACAACTAAATCCATACCATTACTCCCTAAAGGCAAAAACAATAACTACAGGACATATGCTACAGGCACTCAGGCATAAAACCACAGAAATGAGCCTAGCCGGAGTGGCTCAGCTGGTTGGAGCATCATCCAGTGCACTGAGAGGTTGCCAGTTTGATTGTCGGTCAGGGCATGTACCAGGGTTGAGAGTTCAATCCCTGATCAGAACACTACTGGCAGCTGATTGAGGTTTCTTTCTCACATCGATGTCTGTCTCTCTTGCTCTCACTTTTGCTAAGCATGTCCTTGGGTGAGGATTGAAAAAACAAAAGCAAAAAAGACCGAAATAACAGTTTCACCCAGATAGAGAACAGTAAGCTGCAGAAGGTGTAGGTACATGTGGACACAGAAATGGCAGAAACTGTAGCTCCCCTGGGCACACAGAGCATGAACTATAGTCTTGCATTCACTGGAGCCTCTGATGGAAGTCATACTTTGTACAACACAGATGCTGGGGACACAGCTCTGATTCCTGATGATCACAGGATTACACAGACACATAGGAGGCAGAAATTCTCCACACAGTGTGAAGATGGTAGAAGCCATGGCCCCTCACAGTGACATGAGGTCCCTCTGTTCTCAGACACAAATGGGCTTGTACAGATGACAGTGAAGTCCAGTTGCTAGTGGTAAGTGATATCCTAGAGGTCACCCTCAGGCGGTGGGCACTATGGCTGTCTGTAATAAATGATCATGAGAAAACACAGTAAGCCAGAGCCACACACTTTACACCCATAGGACCACAGGCCCCCGTGCAGGCACGCACATGATGCTACATACCTCTGCACCATCATGCTGGCCCCAGCCCCCAGCACAGGGGCACCCACAGTGTGTAACACACTTATATACTCCATGCCTTTGCTGAACACCCACTCCTGAAGGCTGCACTAAAGTCAGCAGAACTTTGGGTGAGGGAAGAAAACATTTGTAGACTCAGAGATCTCGTGCTCAGACTGCTGGGTTCTGTCCCCAGCAGGGATACTGAGCCAGCCTGAGGTTGGCCCTCTGGCCCAAGAGGCCATTATGAGTCCCCTTCTTAGTTGCTTAAAGTTAGGCTCGTGGCTCATCCTACCTACTTTGTGGGAGAGGAGCTTGGTGGCTGCCTCCTTGAGCCCAGGAGGCTGCATTTGGCCCCCTGTGCCCCTTCCTGTCGCCTGGGGCAAGGGGCCAACCCCAGCAGGCTCTGGGCAGCTCCCCTAGCTCCCCTCCCCCACACCTAACTCTCAGACTTTTCCTTGCAAGGGCAGAGCCAGCCCCTCTCCTGAGTCCCAGAATCTGACATTCCAAAACTCCACCAGGCCTGTTTACCCGCTGTGGGAACTGGGGCCAAGCAGAGAGACCCATGACAGCCCTGAGGTCCCTGGGGCCCAGGGGCCCAGGCATTTGAGCTGGCACAGGCCCTGGGCCTCTTTCAACTCATCTGTCACTCCTACCCCCAACACCCAGATGTCCCGCCTTGGCGGTGCTGTCCCTGACTGCCACATTACTGCTCCGGAATCCGCCAGCTGGGCCCTTGGGCCTGGCTCCTACAGAGCCCCTGGACAAAAGCAGGGGAGGGAGGGGAAAGAGCGCCTGACCAGCTTTCTCTTCTCCCTGCCTTAGGAGGCAGAGATGCCTGATGAAGTCAACATTGACGAGCTGTTGGAATTAGAGAGTGAAGAGGACAGAAGCCAGAAAATCCAGGTAGGTGGAGGGGAAAGCTGCCCCCCAGTCCTCTACCGCGCCCCTCCCTAAGATTCACAGCAATGGTTACCATGTTTATTGAGTCTTTACTATGTACTTGGAATTATTTCAATTGCTTTACATTTATCTTTTTTAAAAAATACATATTTTTTATTGATTTCAGAGAGGAAGGGAGAGGGATAGAAAGATAGAAAAATCAATGAGAGAGAATCATTGATCAGCTGTCTCCTGCTTGCCTCCCACTGGGGATAGAGCCCACAACCAAGGCATGTGCTCCCGACTGGAATCGAACCCGGGACCCTTCAGTCCACAGGCCGATGCTTTATCCACTTAGCCAAGCCGGCCAGGGCTATACTTATTATCTTATTTAATCCTCACAATACCCTATGAAGTAGACACTATTCTCCATTTTCCAGATGGTGAAGGTGAACCCCAGGAGATGTAATCACTTGCCCAGGGTCCCACAGCTCAGGAGGAGCAGAGTTGGGAGTCATAGCAAGTGGGCAGTTTGGCTCTTATGGCCTGTTTTCTCCTAGAAGCAGGAAATGCTGTGTGACCTCACCTCAACCTGCCCTCAGACTGTGCCCCCCTTTAAAGACAGGGGGGAAGTCCACCTTGGAGTCTGACTTCATTGTCTTGTTGCTTGGGGCTTTGTTAGTAAGGGAAGGAACTGGAGGGGCAGAGGTGTTGTTAGTCATTTACTATTTCCTTTTTTTTTTTTTTTTTTTTGCGTGGGTGGGGGTTTAGGGGCTCCTGAAATCCTGCGCGAACCCCACAGAGGTGAGTTTTTTGTTCCCCCTTACAGGCCCTGTTCTGGCCCCCTGCATCCTCATGGGGAAGGGGAGTGTCTGGGGAGCAGGGGAAAGTTGCCATCCAGGACCAGCAGAGGGAATTCTGGGGAACCCTTTTCTCTCTCTAGTGGTGTCTTTTATCTTCTCCTCTTTTCCCATCTGCCACTGGGCCTCCATTATCTCCTCTCCTCTGAGAGCTCCCCCATCTGTTTCCTGTTTTTTACCTCTGCTATGCTCTGTCTGCTTCCCTCTCTCCTCTCCCTGTTACTATCTCTCCACCCTGGGGCTCCCTTCCACACCTCTGCGTCCCCCCCCACCCCCCCAATCTTTTCTGGCCTTGAAGCTGAGCAGCCCAACCCCTCCCACTTCCTTCTCTGCTTTAAAAGGGAAAAATATTCATGTTTCTCTAACTAGCTCTGGCTGCCTGAGGGAGATTGTGCATCTGCTGCTCTGCAGGCTCAGGCTCTGTCCCTGGGGACCCTTCTGGTGATCTCTTGGCCTGGGAAACATCTTAAATGTCTCTGTGGCTCTGTTTCTTTCTCTGTCCCTTTGTATTTCTGACTCTCTCTCTCTGCATCTCTTTCTGTTCTCTGTTCTGGCCTCTGTCTCCATCTCTCCCCTAGTCTCTCTATTTTTCTCTATTTCTATAGCTCCCTGTCTTGCTTTCTTTGTCTCCATCTCTCTCATTCCTTATATCTCTTTCTTTCTTTGCCCTCTCCCATCTCTGTCTCCTCCCTTCCCCTCCCACCCCAATCTTCTTCCTCTTTATGGCCTCTCCTCTTCCCTAACTTCACCTCCACCTGCTCTCACTGACCTGGAAGAAGGAAGGGGTCAGGTCAGAGGGGCTGGGCTGGGCAGGGCCCCATCCCTCCCCCTGTTCTCAGCACCCTCCACCCTGTCCTCAGGACTTCGTCCAGGAGCTGCTGGTGAAGTTGCGAGGCCTCCACAAGCAGCCCGGCCTCCGCCAGCCCAGCCCCTCTGGTGACAGAAGCCTGAGCCCCCTCCAAGACCGGGCCCGGACCTTGCCGCCCTGACACTCTCTGGCCGCTGAGGCCCTCAGTCCCCCACTTCCTGGTGCCCTCCTGGCTTGTTTATAAGTAGTATTTAATGGTTCTGTAACAGTAACACTGAGTGCCTTTTTCCTCTCCTTGGTCACTCCAGGCTTCCCCTAGCTCCACTCCTAAAATCTTCCTCTCCTGCTGGTCTCCTTGTGTCCAGCACCCACAGCTGGCCCACACAGATGGAGAATCACTCCTCAGCGGCCAGAGAGCATGAGAACAGGCTCTGCTGACCTTCCACCCCCGGGACTCACATCCTGTCCTCCCCTCCCCCAGCCTTGGCCCGTCCCAGCTGCCAAAGCCCTAGTGTACAGAAGGCACCCAGCTCCTATGGGAATGATGGCCTGCATAGGACCAATATGCCTGCTATCACCACAACACATCATGAACAGTCATCATGCCATGAATTTTATTGAGCACTTATTGTGTACTTGACATGGCCATTGAAATTGAGACCACAAAGAGGAGAAGAATTTGGCCCCTGGAGTCAAGGTGCTCACACACTGGTGCAGAAGATTAGAACAGAGGGGTGAATGGTCCAAGATACCTGGGAGGCCTGGGAGTGGGAGGCACCTGTCTTGCTGGGGCTGGTAAGTTTTTGGAGGGCTTCCTGAAGAAAGTCCCATTGAGGCAGGGCTTCGAAGGATGCATAGGCATTTGTGTGAAATGGATATCCATATCTGAGGACTTAGAACCTGTGTGTGTGGGAATTGACATTGATGCTGAGCCAGGGAAGATAAATATTGGCAGGGCCCTCCACCAATCAGAATAGGCAAGTCTCCCAGGGGTCCATCAGGAGAGCCCCTGGGCTGGGGCATGGGGAGACCTGAAGGGTCCCAGGCTAGGAGCCTGAGCATCAGACATGGGTAGTGGTTATTGACCAAAAACTGAAAGGTATGTTAGTACTTTAAAAAAAAATTCATTCTTTTTTAATCCTCATTGGAGGATATTTTTCCATTGATATTTAAGAGAGAGTGGAAGGGAGCGGGAGAGATACAGAGAGAGAAACATCAATGTGAGAGAGATCCATCAATTGGTTGCCTCCAGCATATGCCCTGACCATAGCTGGGGATCAAGCCTGCAACCCAGGTTCGTGCCCTTGACCCAGGACCCTTCAGTCTGTGGGCCAATGCTCTATCCACTGAGCTAAACCGGCTAGGGCTATTTCAGTATTTTAACAGCAGGTCTAGTGTACTAGTGATCCCAGCTGGGTGCAGTCAGGAGATGGAGTGTGGCTGGGGTTGCACCAAGGACTTGCAGGATCAGAGCTAGGGTGTTTCCCCCCCAGGACAAAGCACATCTCCTGTCTTGCCTTTGCTGACTGAAGTTGGGGCCCCAGCTGCAGTTCCCACTCCGGGCCACCCTGCAGCCTGGCCAGGATTAGGCACCCATCCCAGGGAGTCTGAGTTTCCATCTGGCAGGAAGAAAAGGTGCCCCTGAAGAAGAGCATAAAGGGTGGGCCTGGTTTGTCCAACCCTTCGGGTGGCCTTGCTGTCCCTGCACAGATAGGCCTCAGGCTTCCAGTGCCCCTTTCCTCCATACAAAATGTGCAGAGAATGAATGTGTGGAGACTGGAGGTATCCCACCTCCTGGCATCTGAGCACCTAGGCCTCTCCCAGGACATGCATTGAGGCCTAAGGAACTCTGAACTCCCTCTCACAGAACCTGTTTTTGGTTCCTCATCTTTGTGGAGGTGGCATATACTCAGACCCAGGTTCCAAAGTCCTGGGTGTGCCTCTCAGTTTCCTCATTAGGAAAAGGAGGGCTTCACAAAAACGAAAGCCCAGATTACTGATGTCATTTGCCCGAAGTCACACAGCTGGGAAGTGGCTCTGGGCTTTAATTCCAGGCTCCAGAGCCCAGCTATTTTATTCCTACACTATAGCACTCCTGTAAACGATAGCAATGATTGCTGTTCAGTGGCTGGAAGATGTTGACTGATTCATACTAAGGTGCTGGTAACTTCTCATAGCCTATCTGAGAAATCCTATCTAAAGGGCAATACAACTTGACTGAAAATAAGGCTACAACAAAGGGTTGGGAAGCAGCATACTGAAATGGGTAAGAGCCCAGATTCAAATGCCATTTTTCCTACTTCCTGGCTGTGTGATATTGAGCAAGTCACTTAACCTTTCTGTGCCTGTTTCCACATTTGTAGAATTAAGGTGATTATAATAGTATCTACCTCCCAGGGTAGTTGAGGCTTAAATGCACAGACCATGGGCACATAATAAGCACTGTTATCAACCTGATTGTAGGGAGAGGGAGCTGGACCATTTGCTTCTACACCCCCATACCTGGCCAGCAAGTTGTCCCTTGGGAATACTAACCCACACCCCTGGAACATGGAAAAACCTGGCCTGCCCCCCGCTTGCTTTCCACTCAGCAGCCAGAGGATGCTTTTTCTCACTCTTACATTAGTCCCCATCCATCCTTTTCCCTCTTTCCTCCAAAGTCACTGTTTTAAACATTTTCTTGCTATTGTCCCAGTATATCCTCATGCAAATACAAACCAATGTGAACTTATATTGCTTCCCCTCTATACACAGACAGACACTGTGAACATTTTCCTAACCTTGCTTGTTCCTGTAATAGCCTATCTTGGGGATCTTTCCTATCACAATCCTCCAAAGGCTTCCCTTGGCCCCAGAACAGAAGCCAAAGTCCTCCCCTCCATGGTCACCATTCTGCCTTCCTCCCTGTCCACTCTGTCCCTTGCCTGCACTGGCCACTCCATCCATCTGGCTCTTCCCCTCCAGGATCCACAGACAGCTTTCCTCTTCACAGAGCACTCTTCCAGAGTTCTGCTCATTTAGATGTAATCAGAGAGGTGTCCTTACACCCCTTCCTTAAGGAGCCATGCTCAGTCATTATCCTGTTACCCTTGTTTATTTCCTCCATATAATTTATGAAACCCTGAATTATCTATCATTTTATCGTCTGGCTAGATTCCCCCACCTTTAGAATATTAGCTTCTGGCTTGCCCTCAAACATGCTTCTATTCCTAATGTCTTCAACAGCGCCTAGCAAGCAATAGTGCTTATCCAACGACAGTGCCCCCTGGTGGCCACCATATAGTAACCCTCCTTGTGTAGAAGTGAGGCCTTGGTGCCCTCTCCTGCCTGTTTTGAGTTTTACAACTAAACTCCAAAGGTCAGTTACTTCAGGGGTGGTCAGCAGATAATGAATTACAAGAGAAGGCTCTTAGGAAACTACTAAAAAATACTGACCTTTCTGCTCTACACCAGCGGCTTTGCTGATTGGAATAACTATTATGGGAAGGTAGGGGAGGTTGGGGAGGGGGAGGTAAGAGGTCAACCCAAGGAGTTGCATATAAGCAAAACCAATGGACTCAAGACACTGGGGCGGGGTGTGAGGGCATGTGTGGGGTGGGGGCGGGGTGGGGGGAGTAAGGGGAGGCTGCGGGAAGGTCAATGGGGGTGGGGGAAGAAGACGTGCTACTATTTGTAATGCTTTAAACAATTAAAATAAGAATAACTATTAAAAATGGGCTTGCATCAATGATATAATTGGTAGTCACAACTGACTAAAATGTCTTGGAAACACTTCTTGTCCTCATAAAGAGGGCAGTGTTGTGGGGTCGAATCCTGGGTTCAAAATAAGACCACCGGAGGCTGATGATTAATTAAAAAAAGCAGGCAAGGATTTATTGAAATAAAAACTGGCCAGGACAGCCACGAGAGCACCACACACAAGTGGTCTCCACACGACTGCACTGTTCCAGATGTAGGCAAGTCTTTTTAAAGGTCTAAACCGCAAGAATTTCCCTTTGTTCCTAAATCTTAAAGACTAAATTCTAAAGACTGGGGACAGCCTGCAGGTTTGGTTCCCAGTCACATCCTGCTGGACATTGGAATGTGGCCCTATCTTGCGATAGCCGATAACAGAAGCAGAGCTCAGCGGTTAGTCTGTAAAGGTTATCTACAGTTTCTATCCCTGAAGCTACTGAGTCAGTGGGAATCAATCTCCTGAGGTCCTGGTCCCTGGCAAGGGAAAATTGCCTTATCCTCCAGGTCTCCACCTGGAAGCTGAGGTAAGTACCCAGTATTTTAATCAGATGCAGGAGCCAGACTTAGCAGGATTAAAATTCAAACGGCAGTTTTTACCAAAGTATGGTTGCCACTATATTTCATTCCCCACTGGTTTTATGTGCATGAGTCAAATCATTAACTCATCCTACTTCCTTTAAGGGTATTTATTGTTCTCTTTCTGCTCTCCTATTCCCTTGCACATGTAGCTTTACTTAGCCCCGGACTTTCTCACTGGCTAGCAAAAATGTTCTTACAGTTACCAAAACCTCTAGTACCACAGTTCCCATTAGTACTGTCCTCACTGAAGTCCAATTCCCTCCTGCAGGCATCAAGTCTCCTCCTGGCCTGTTTGGAGCCCAGGCTAGGGATCTCACGGGTGAGGCTGCTGGTTGCCAGGATCCAGGTTGTTTTCTGTGCAGGAGCTGGGAGTGGTGTAACCAGGTTTGGGTGCCATCTACTTCACCATCTGTGGCATGCTTAGGATAACAGGGTAGCGTCCCTTTCAGGTTGGGGTGAGTCCTTGGACAGTGACCTTCTTTACCCACACAGAGTCTCCGGGCTGGAAGGGGTGTACAGGGTCCACGGTGGGCACTGGCAGTGCATCTGGAATAAGCTTATGGGTGGCTCTCTGGGTAAACTGCAGAGCCTGTAAGGACTTGAGCAAGGGAATGGTTATGAATTCCAGCTTTCAGTTTCTCCCTGACCCCAGAAAGGATGGAGGTCGGTCTACCATATATGATCTCAAAAAGGGGGGGGGGACTTCTCCCGGTAGAGTACACCTGGCTCATAGAGGACAAAGGGCAGGGGGTTGGTCCAATTTTCACCGCTTTCCAGGACAAATTTAATTAAACTTTTTAGAGTTCTGCTCATGCCTGTCCTAAGGCTTGAGCTATACTTTGAGATACCTTGCTACAAAGGCTGGGCTGTTATCTGATCCTATGACTTCTGGCAGCTCGAATCTAGGTATAATCTCCTGGAGTAATCTCTTGACTACTATAGAGGCAGTTTCTGTCCTATGCTTCAACCTAATCTGAGAAGGTGTCTATAAAAACTAGCATGTACTTGTACCTTAATGCTGGTGGCTTAATCTCTGTGAAATCCACCTCCCAATGCTCTCCTGGAGAATTTCTCTGGGGCCCGAATTCCCAGGGGGACCCTCCTACATTAGCATTTACCTGTGCACAGACAGTATTTCTAGTGACTATGTTTTTAATTATAATATCTTATTTAAGCTTGGTAGTATCTGCCTCACAGAAGTTTAGAAGTCTTGGTGACACCTAAGTGGGTAACCTGGTGTAATTGGGCAACTAACGTCCAACCTAGAGCCTCTGGGACCAACAGTCTCTCATCTGGTAGGGGCCACCAACCATCTGGTCCTTTGATGGCTTGCTTCTGTTCAGCCAATTTCTCCTCTTGTTTGGTGTAGGTCGGGGTCCGGCAGGGTTACTAAGACTTGTAAAGGCCCCACTGGTTTTTGGGCATCTTCCTTAGCAGTTTGGTCTGCGGCTCTATTTCCTCTGGCTTCAATTGTCTCCCCTATCTAATGTCCTTTGCAGTGCACTATTGCAACTGCTTCTGGAGTTAGATAGCCTCAAATAAGGCTAAAATAATGTCCTTTCTGGCTGGAGTTGGTAACCCTTTTTCCCGGTGGATGGCATAGTGTCCCCATCAAAGGATTAGGCCAAAAGTTTACTGATGTTACTCTGTTCAGGAACTGTTACCTCTATGCAGTCATGAATGGGTTCCTCTGGATCATCTGGAAGCAGGCTGGCAGGGCTGATGGCCAGTGTCTTATGGAACCGGATGCAGGGCTGGTCCAGGAGAAGAGCTTGGCACTGGGTGATTCTGGTGTTTGACATTCATCTCTCTGGAGCACCTCAAAGGAGGGCCTCAACGGCATGGGGTGTTGTTAGGGCTAGCTTCTGGTCCAGAGTCTGCTTATCTGCCTCCTTCACCAGCAATACAGTGGTGGCCGCTGCCCAGAGGCACACTGGCCACTCTGCTGCAGATAGGCCACAGGTCTCTTCCAGGGAGTCTGAGTGAGAATCCCTTTGGCAATGCCCCTTACCTCACTCACGTAGAGGTGGAAGAGCTTGTGACATCTGGCAAGGCTAGGGCAGGTGCTGAGACGAGAGCCTTCTTTAGCTCCTCAAAGGTTCGTTGTTCCACTTTAGTCCAGTTCAGCGGCTGCGTTCCCCCAGTACATGTTCCTTCCAAGGTCCACAGTCCTTCTTGATGTCCAAGGAAAATAGGCAGTTTGTCTGGTGGCTCCCTGAACTGTTATCTTCTTAGAGATCCCATCAGCTCTGTCAAGACTGAATAGATTGCCTTAGTGTCCACCAAAAAAATCTAATAGGTTTGCTTCTCACTTGTAAGGTTACCCGTGGGAGCTTAATGGAAAGGAGCCCCGGTCCTGTCAGTCCTCTTCCTCTAAGTCAAAAAAAACAAAACCCTTGGAGTCTAAGTCTCTCTTCTTGCCTCTCCAGCTAATCTGCCAGGAAATTCTATTTTTCAGTGCCCCTGCTTCCTACAATAAGCATATTAATTCCTTCCTATTTGCAGCTTGTCTTCTCTTCCTTTCAACCCTTTCCTGTTCCCCTTCTCATCATTTGCATAACCCTCACAAAAACCTTTACTATTTCAAATTAGCCTTCAAACCTTCTTTCTATGTTCTTCAAAAATGTATAAACATGCCTCAAACCTCCTATTATTTTAAAATATTTAGAAAAGGCAGAGGGAGGAGGGAACAGGATCAGTACCCTGTTCCCAGACCTCCACCCGCTTAAAATTTAAAGTGACACATTTTTTCCTACAAATAAGATCTGTTTCTGATAAGCCTGAAAAGGGGAATGGGAGAATTTCTAATTGCGCCTTTAAGCTCCCTAACAGAACACGGTGAAAAATGTCCAAGGAGTTGCTGGGAGTTTTGGGGTCTCATTGGGGTGCAGAGGGTCACAAAGGAATTTCTCTCCTTGCCCCGGCCACCACTCGCCACAGCCACCTCCTCCAGCTACTCTAAATAACCCCTGGAGGGAATGGATACCAGGTGGGTGGAGGCAGGTCCCGGGTGGCAAAGGAAGGGCTCCCTTGGAGGTGTTTTCCTCTAGCAGTCCACTCTGTTCTCACTGGGAAAAGCGCTTGCCTCTTGCTACCCTGTTTCCCCGAAAATAAGACAGTGTCTTATATTAATTTTTGTTCCCAAAGATGCACTAGGTTTATTTTCAGGTGATGTCTTATTTTTCCATGAAGAAGAATACGGGACACATTTATTGTTAAATGAAAATAAAGGAAATTTATTACCTGTATACGGTACGGTAGTACGGTAGTTGTCAACACAAACCAAACAAACTGAATCCTACAGTATCAAGAATTTACTCATTTATTCAATGATAATCATGTCATCTTCTGGAACATCATCATAACAGTCCAATTCCTGAATTTCCTGGTGAATTTCTTGTGACTCCATTTATTTCAGAATCAGTGGACCAAATCTCTCATGTTTAGCCTGGGGGGGGGGCTTATATTGGGGGGATGCCTTATATTTCACTCAGAAGGAAACCTGTAAGTAGGTCTTATTTTCGGAGGATGCCTTATTTTCGGGGAAACACGGTAGCTAAGGTGCCATGGGGGAACTGGTAACCCCTACACTGCAATCAGACTCCCTGAACTTTCTGAAAAGCTCCTCTGCGTGTGTTTCCATTAATCTTACTGATTTTAAAACTATAACTTAAGAGTTGACACACACACACACAAGGACCAAGTTG